AGATGGCGGCCGCCCCCGCCTCGGCCGCCGCCAAACGCGCCCTGGAGCCCGCGCAGCAGGACGCGCGCTACGCCTGCCAGCACTGCGGCATGACCTTCAAGGGCAGCAGGTCGGTCATTGCCTCCGCGAGCCGGTCGCGGAGGCATCCGTTCAGAATTCCTTTTGCGTTCCAGTCAATTGCACAATCGCTCTTCTGCCCCGTTGGCGACTGTCGCCCCTTTGCGGTTGTTTCTTTGCCGTCGATTCGCGAGGAGAGTAAAGCAAGGCGATCGCGGCCAAGAGGAGATGACGTTGCACTCGGCCGCCGCTCTCAAGCGGAGCGACCGCGAAAGCGACTCGGGGCCAAGGGAAGGCCAGCTCGTTTGACACAATCGGCCTTTCCCCTTTCTTGTGGCGAGACGGCAAATGCTTTTGACGTGTTGAAGAAGTTCTCTTCCGCCTGGGTTTCCCAAATCTTCCAATATCTATTCATTTATTTTGGTCAGTGACTGAGGATTAAACCAAAAAGTCAGGCGTTTAACACCGTGCGCGATGCGCCCCGACGATTTGAACACGGAGAGCGCCGCGCGCATGGAGATTGGTCCCTCCCAGGCACGTCGCCGCCCGTAATCTCCGAAAGAACGATGAGGAGCAGCCACTTGCGCGTGTGCGCTGATTGATGTAGCCTGCGTTTGTCCAAAGTGGAAAAATTGGCCAAGGTGAGGCAAGAAAAGACTTGCGGCCGTCCGGGAAAGCCGCTCCCGTGCGAAAGCGACGCGCGCCGGAGCCTTTCGCCATCGCGGTCGCGGCGGACAAAAACGGCCCGTTTGTCTTTGCGCGTGCCGGCCCGCCCGAGCTTTCTGACAAGTTTTGCTTCAAAGCGGCCGGCGAAGCGAAACGACCGCCCAACGGTTGCTTCCCTCTTGCCGGTCGGTTCTTGGAAGTCCGCGGCGGCGCTTTGCCGATCGACGCGCCTCTCCCTCTCGGCGGATTTGTCGCGGTCGCTTCGTCGCCCTGCGTTGTGACGATCGCTCGACAGATCCCCGCTTCGCGGGCGTCGCTGCCGCGCCGCTCATCCCGTCACGTCGGGCTGGCCGACAATTCCAGATCAAGACGTATCGCCTGAGTGACGGCGATAGAAAATGCCACGCTCGGTCGAGAGAAATCGAGGCGCAAATGGCGTTGGCGGCGCTCCTGAGGAGAAGCGCCTCCAATCGCGGATGGATGAAGAAAAAAACAATCGAGAATGACCGATATTGCCTGATAGGAACTACTCGTATTGCCAAACGTTTGTTTTTTCAGCCCCGTCACTGAGACCTCAGAAGGACGCCATCTTCCAAAGGCTCTTTATTGCATCTTTTGTCTTGATGGGTGAATTTTTCATGGCTGCGATCACTTCTTCTTCAAGGAGAACTCTTGGATGTTAAAAGCAAATGATCTTTTGTTTCTGCCGGTCCTTATTTGCAAAAGTTGCAAGAAATCGAAAGAAGGGGGGCGCATACATACATACATACATATGTGTCTCCACCAACATGAAGTGATGATGAAATCCGACTCCAAGTGTGTCCGTCCATCCGTTTCAGCGCTGCTTATCCTTGCGAGGGTCGCGGGGGGGTGCCGGAGCCCGTCCCGGCTGACTACAGGTGAAAGGCGGATTGCGCCCCTGAACCGGTCTCCAGCCGGTCGCGGGACACGCCCGGAGACCGACAAGCATTCACGCCCGCGCGGCGGGAGCCCGTCCCGTGCCGGATTTGAGTCTCGTCCTCCACAGAAGCAGTCAGACGATGCAAAATAAGCGGCAGGTTTTACTCTGGGAAAACTCCGACTCCCCTTTTTTTTTTTTTTGATGTCTGCTCGAGACCAAACCGGGAGCCGAATCCTCATCGGTCGATTTGACAAACCGTCCCGCTTGGGAAAGAGCCGCCCGACTCGCCTCCCCGGCGAGAGCGGTCACGCGCCGGCGCCTAACGCCCGCCGACTTGTTTGCGCTTCAGGATGCTGGGGAGTCACCTGCGGCTGCACGGCAAGAGGCGCATCCCCCCGTGCAACATCTGCGGGAAGGAGTTCAACCACAGTCAAGGGCAAGAAGGCCAAGCGGCGGAGGCAGCCGGTGGCCCCGCCCCACGCCGCCGATGACACGTTCTACGCCTGCCCGCAGTGCGAGATGAGCTTCCGCACCTCCGCGGCGCTCTCCAAGCATCAGGTGAGCCGGCCGGCCGACCTCGCGCCGTCTTTGCCGCTGGGAAACTTTCCACGGGACCCGACGGCGAGACGCGGCGGACGGGCGCTCTGTGCGGCCGCATGATGCTCCGCGCCCGCTGCGCGTCTTACGGAGCTCCGGCGAGCAGCTTTGTTAAAAAAAAAAAAAAAAGTCTTCGGCTACTTCGAAATCAAAGTTGGCTTCATTGAAGAGCAACAAATCTTTCCCCCGAATGGCGTGAAATGACTTCCCCAATGTTTGCAAAAAAAAAAAAAAAAAAAATGGAGTTCGGGTGAGAGTATTTCAAAAGAAACGAAAAAAAGTTGCAACTTGAGGAATGGCTAACCTCCAAAAGCAGTTGAGCTGAGATTGGTCGCGACCTGAGCCCGGAGTCGCCGTCATGTCGTTTTCAGCCAACGGACCAAAGCCGCTGCAATTCGTGCCGCTTCGTCCCCGTTCCGCAAAGGCGAGAGTCGGCACGATCCCCGTTGAGACCGGCGGGGCCGCACGACAAATGACCCACGAGAGAGACGATTGGCTTTCAAAGGGGGTGAATCTGGACAACTGCGCTTCAGGCGCACCTCACCTTTGCGCCGGCGCGCCGCAGGAAAGAAGTCGGGCGCGCCGGTGCCAAAAGCGAGCCCGGAGCTCACCCTCGCGCGGGCGGAACCTCGGAAAGAAAAGGCGGCCGCCCGGCGCAGACGGCGCCATCTGTGCCGGGCGCGACAAACACCCCCGTCCCTTTTGCGCGCGATTCCCGTGGAAAGTTTCCCCGGCGGCCGTCGGGCTCGGGGTCTGCCGAAGAACGGCCGTAAGTGTCGGGCGACTTTGCGACCGCGCAGGTGACGCACGTGAAGGAGCTTCTGGACAGCTACGCGCAACCCGGCAAGGAGAACGTGGCCGAGAGCTCGTCGGACCTGAAGATCCGCCTCAAGCTGTGCTCGCGTGACAAGCCCAACTTCTACACGCTGTGCAAAAAGAACCGGCGCCGCCGCCGGCACAGCCGCGCCAAGCCCGGCCCCGACGAGGACGAAGACGAAGACGAGGAGGACGCGGCCGGCGCCCCGCGGGCCCACGGCTGCGGTCTTTGCGGAAAACGTTTCAGCCACACCTCCAGCCTGGTGCGCCATCAGCTGAGCCACCAGGCGGCGGCGGCGGACGGCGGCGGCAAGCGAGCCAAGGCCAAGAGCAAGACCTTCACCTGCGCCGCCTGCAACAAGACCTTCATGCACTCGTCCAGTTTCTCGCGCCACAAGAAGGCGCACCTGGGCGCCGCCAAGAGGGCCGTCCTCGACGAGACGGCCCCCATCGAGTCGGACTCCGACTGAGTCCGCTCGGGCGCGACGGCAAGTGTACATAGCAGACGTGGTCAGAAGGCCGTCCGCCCGCCAGCGCCCCCTTTCCCGTCCCGGGAAGAACAGGACCTTTTTGTCTCTGCAAGATGAGCGAATTCAGGGCCGGGGAACCGGGCTTCCTTGCTTTCGCGCCCTCCCCGCTCCAACGCGCCCGATTCAAAGCGTCGGCGAGGCCCGAAACGATCGGAAACCGTCGAAGCGGGCGCGTTGGGGTCGGGAGGGCTGGAAAGCGGGCAGGAGAGGGCTCTCGAGGAAGCCCGGTTCCCGAGCCCCGATCTCATTGGATGGAGAACGTGACGGCCGCGGCCGTGTTTCCGCTCCTCACCTGCCCGCCTCCCCCTCCTCCTCCTCCTCCTCGCTTGTTCCGTTTGTTGAGTCCCATGTTGTGGAATGCATGCAGCCACTCGGCCATCTTTGTAGTTTTGACCGCGGAGGGAGCGCGGGGCGGCTGGCCGGCGTCTTTCGCGATTTGGAAAGCTATTTCAATGTCATTCGAGCAAGTGGAGACCCTTCCCTCGTTGTTCCCGTAGCAACGCCGGCATCGCCGCCATCAGCGGCGGCAAAGGGCAAAACTCCGCTTCCATTTCTTCCTCGCGTTTGAGGAAAAGGTTGGGCTTTTTATTGCCGCGGCCGCACAGCAACCGAGGCGCGGCGGCGTCTCGGTGACGTTGACAATTGTGCCGGACGTCCTGACTGAGTTTGTTTGAAAAAGAGAAAAATTGCTTGTCATTCACCTTTAGCCTCCATGTTGTATTGCATCAGTGTCGTGTTTGCTAATTAGCACAAAGCCTTGACGTGTTCATTTTGTAATAAATCTGGAAAATGAGGCCTTACTCTTCTTAAGTGTGTGCGCGCGCGCGCGTGTGTGTCTGTCTCTGTCTATGAATGATTGACACGTGCTTTGGGTCCCGGATCTAAGCACGACAGTCTCCGATTGGCTTTCGCTGCGGCAAGTTGCAGAATAATTCCAAATCCAATAGGAGGCGTGACATTGGGTCCGTTGAAGAGTCTTCCACTTGCACAGCTTGAACATGCATGGCCAAAAGTGTTTGTTTCACTCTCCCTTGAAAGTGGTTTGGGAGCAAAGTGTGTGTTCTGTGTTTGGCGTGAATTGTAAATAAAGGCAATTGGAATGACAAAGCCCAGGCCCGTGCTGTACAGCGTTTCAAAAGTGATTTGAACACAAGGGGGAAAGAGCCCAAAATTTCAAGCCATCCTTTGTTTGCTAATCTCAAAGCGAGTAGCTGATTGACAAATGTGCTGTCATGCAAACTATTTGGAAGAAGTGGCAGTCCATACCAGGAATGGATCCATTCTGTGTGTGTGTGTGTGTGTGTGTGCGTGTGTGTGCGCATATATATATATATATATATATATGCGCACACACACACACACTGTGTATAGAGAGTGAGTGTTTGCTTGGTTGCCTTTTGTGGACATGGAAACAACGCACCTGCAGCGTCATGCCTCCGTCGACGTGACTGACAGCTGCTTGTCCCGCCTCCCCGACCAACCCGCCCGAATGTTGACGGAAGCACGCGACAACCGGCCGGGGTCCGGTCGGTGACGGACTTGTCGCGCGACGTCTCGCCCGGTCCGAGACACAGAAGGATCTTCATCCGCTTTTCCGACAGCGCGACCGCCGTGAACGACAAATCGGCGCGTCGTTTGATTGGACGTCGCGAGAGCGCGCGCGCGCGCGCGCTCACGCTTACTCGCCGGCGCTGACGGGCAAAGCAAAAACGACCGAGGCGCTTGCGTGTCAATCATAATCTCTTTATATTTTGGGGGACTAAAATCTCTGGGAGACAACACAACACCACAAACGTTAGAAGGAACAAAGAAGCCATTGAAACTTAAAAACGTCTACACATTAACTTGCTCGTGTGAGTGGGGGTGTGTGCTGCACAAGTTTGGAAAGGTTCCATGTCAACTCGAATAACAACTGAACGTGACTATGTTCGTCTATTACCTTTGTGAAGTGCTTATTTACATGTGTGTCTGAGAGAGGGGGGGAGTGTACGCGCGTGTGTGCGTGTGCGTGTGTGTGTGTGTGTGTGTGTGCGCGTGCGTGCGTCACTACAAAAGTTAAAAAAAACAACACGATTCCATGTTGTACAAGAAGTGAAGATGATGTTGGGTGGCACCATGTTTGCGACGTGTTTCTTTATCCAGCGTGTTAGTGAGCAAGGGCGCTCGCTCCGTCTCACGCTTGGCCTTCCTGGTCGCCCTCCTGGACGTGGTTGGACTTGCCCAGCGTCTTGATTTTGGCCAGCGTCTCCACCAGCGTCTCCTTGACGCTCTTTTCCAGCAGCCAGCCTTCGCTCTCGCATTCAGGGTTCTCGGGGTCGCTCATGGTCTCCAGAGCGGTGCTCAGGTACTTCAGGCCTGCCATGTCTGCACACTGCATCGCGTGCGCACGCCACACACACACACACACACACACACAGAGGTAATGGGGAAGGAAGTGTTGAGAGAACAGCATTGGACATTCGATCGGCTATCGAGTGACTTGAGGCTTTTGTTTGCGGTGCATCGAGGCCATCGGGAAAGCTGATCTGGACACGGGAAGTGGGATTAAAGCTTCCAGAATAGTCCCTGATCCTCAGCGGCAGTCTTTTGATCCACTTGAACGTTTCCCTAACGACTTATCGCTGATCGGCCCTCCGCTCGTTTGGACCGAGGCAGGCGCGTGCCAGAGTTCCGGCGCGGGGGGCTCACCTGCAGCAGGACGGTGGCGGCGACGAGCACGCCGACGCCGGTCATCAGGCCGCTGAAGTAGGAGAAGAGGGCCTCGCGGCAGCCCCGCGTCCAAATGTTGAGTTCCTCGACGCGGTGGTCGTAGTCGTAGTGGGCCGAGTTGTTGGTCAGGTGGTGCTGGATGCAAGGCCGAGGCGATCCCGGATTACAGCAGCTGAACGGGACGCTGTCCATCAGGAACTTGCCGTCCACGTTGCTCAGCACGCGACTGCAACGTCAAGGCCGGCGCACGTCATCGCTCGCGTATGGCTTTGGGCCTTCCGTTCCGATATGTCCGAGCCATTGTTTAGACCAAAGTGGCGCTTCGCCGCCGTCTTTGGAAACCTTCGGGGGCGGACCGAGAAGGCCCGCCTCCCTTCGGGCGGCTCGCGCGGTTGCCGCCGGCCGGATCCCGAGAGCTCCTCGATCCGTATTTGTTCTCCAGTCGATCGCGTGGGTCAGTCGCCGCGCGTCTGTGCGATTTGACCACGCGCCGTCTTCAAAGCGGCTCGCCGGCTTTGACAATAGCCTTCAACAAAGGCGCGCTTTGTTTCTGCTGTCCTGCGGAGGCGAGCGCGGCGCGACGCGCGTGCCTCTGGAGGCTCCAAATCCATCGTGGCTCGCGGTGGCGTGACGCGAGCTCGCGTACAAGGCGGCCCTTGGGGAGCGCCCGGCAGGGAGCTCGCGGCCGCTCCCCGCCGGGTGGCTGCCGTTTACGTTTCTTTCCCCCCCCCCCTCATGTGAAACTCAAATATCGCAAAAGCCGGAGGGGGCTCGGACGCGAGCCGCGCATCCGGTTTCAAGATAGGGCGCCAAGGTCGCGCGGAGCGGAAGCGCCTCGCTCCGACGCGAGCGGGGTTTCTGGTTTTTGGTTCGCGCGAGAGCGCGGCGCGACGTCATCGACCTTGCCGTGTCGGAAAAGATCACGCGCTGGCAGGCAGATTAAAGGTTTAGGAAGAACTCTCACCCGGTAATCCCCCCTCATCCCCAGCCGACCCGGTTCCCGTCAGCTCTCGGACGGCCCCCCCGCGCGTGCGAAGACGGAACGGCTTGGGCGGGACTCACTCTTTGACTTGGCCGTCGCTCATGTCCAGGTAGCGGTTGCTGATCCACTGGACCTCGAACCAGTCGCGGAAGTTGACGTTCCCGCAGCAGCGGAACTCGATCTGCGTCAAGTCCAGCGTGCGCTTCATGAAGCAGCGGCCCGGCGTGTCGGTGTCCTTGTAGAAGCGGATGCTGTTCTTCAGGCCGCGGGACAGCGTCAGGTAGACGGCGAACTGCAGGAGGAAGCAGAGCAGCGCCAGCAGCAGCAGCAGCGCGTTGAAGGCGCAGCACAGCAGCAGGAACCTCCTCAGGCCGGGCTTCCACTTGGAGTACTTGAGCGGGTCCAGCGAGTCGTGGCACACTTTGCCGCCGAAGGCGTTGAGCGCGCAGGCCAGCAGCCCCGCCAGGATCAGCAGGTTGGGCAGCAGGTGGCTCTCGCTCTGGTCCATCAGCTCGCTGCGCTTGCGCAGCTCCACCTTGAAGAAGACGCCCAGGCCCAGGAGGAGCGCGCCGGCCGCGACCGACAGCCAGTAGAGGATCCACAGGCCCTGGGCCAGCTTGACCCGCTTCTGCAGGTCGAACTTGACGGGCAGGAAGGGCATCTTGAGCTCGCAACGTGCCGCCGCCGCCGCCTGCGTCAGGCCGGGCCACGGTGGGCCGGGGGGGCTCCCATCGCGCGCGGCCGCACCTCACCTCACCTAGCGGGTCCTCGGGCGCAAACAGTTTGGCGCGGCTGCGATCCAGGCGCAAAGTGAACCGCGCCGGCCCCTAAGCCACCAAGCCAATTAGCTGAGCCCATCAGCGGGCTTATGGGAATTGGGGGCGGGGCGGGGCGGGGCGCCATCACGCGCAGGAAAGCCGCCGTCAAGCTCGGCGATTGAGAGATCAACGGGGGGGGGGCAAAGGGTCCAATTTCACTCCCTTTGTCCGAAAAAACTTTTTGTTTTTTTTCTCCGTGGCAAACGTCCCTTTGCGGGATGTGCGCAAAAGCGCCAAACGGAGGTCGCGGCAAGTTCCAAAGCGGGTCGCGAGTTTCTTTGGCAAAGTCCAGTCAAGCGAGTCGGACGGTTTCGCCCCGTTCCAAGCGGAACGGATCGTGGCGCGGAGCGGTCCGCCAAAACCTGCCCAATTCCGAATCAACAATGAACACCAAGCACGAGATCAAATGCTCGCATCGATACGTTGGTTGTTTTTCTCTTTGGGTTTGTTTTTTTTACAGCTCCCAGCGTAACACCGTCGCCATGGCGACAAATAGCGACACGTCGCGTTTGTAATCTTCGTTTTGATGAAGGACTTGCATCGTTTTTTGGTCCGCTTGGGTCTTCCAAATGTGACTTTGTGCGAATGGGCGGCCGAGAGGCCTCCCCTCATTTCCGACCTTGAAGAAGGGCTCGCTCGCTCGCTCGCTCGCTCGGCTTGACGCAAACATTCGCTACCTTCCCAAACACTCGCGAGGCTCCGGCGCCGAGACATTTTCTTGCGCCTTCACAACTCCAAAAAGGCAAAGGCGCTCGGAAAATAAGCGCACGCGTTGCTCAAGTACTTTGGCGTTCATTCCTTCTTTGCTCCGTGGCGTGTTTTGCGCGCCAAGGCGAATGGCGAAGCGCTTGCGCGTGTTTTTGTTTGTGTTTGTGTGTTTTCTTTCCTTCTTCCTCCTTTCATTGGAATACGCTGCCCGATATTGTCTCCGCGACCCTCTGCGAGTGTGTGAAATTGGGAAAGGGGCCGGCGGGGGCTGCGGCCGGAGTGGGCTTTCCTTTCCTTTCCTTTCCTTTCCATCCACGCGGTGGCGCTCGTTGGCACCCTCCCGTTTCTGCCTCGCCTGCACCTCCGGCAAGAGCGAGAAGCCACTCGCGGACAATTTGGGATTTTTTTTTTCCCTCCCGTTTTTGTTGAGGATGTGATCAAGAGATTTCTGCTTTGTTAAGCTCGAAGAAGAAGATTTGCTCGGGGGCGCCTGTTTGTCGCTCGTCAACCGCCGCTTTTCTGTTGAGCTTCTTTCGGCGAGTCTTGCCGCCGACGCCACTGAGCGACGAGTTCCTCAAAGTTTTCAGGAGGCGGAGGAAACTCTTAAAAACAACCCCCCCCCAAAAAAAAAAAAAAAACAAACCCAAAAACAAACCCAGACGACTTTCTCGCCGTCTTCTTGACAGCAAAAGCCACCAACAGTTGGCGCAGTCGTTCCTCGGAACCAGAGGTGAGTCGGACCACGTTTTGTGCCCTTTCCTTGACGTTCTTGTTTGGAGCTCGCTTCGCTAAGGTTAGCTGCTTCCGGTGAGCTGGAAACAAAGTCGGCTTGACCAGAATAATCGGCGGCTCCTCCTCATCGCAAGTTGGATTCGTGTAGCGCCGCTCGACCGCAACGAACGCGTGGCTTCAAACAATAGACGAGCCGCGTTCCTTCTTCATTTGAAACGGCTGTTGACGTTTGATTTCTGTTGTGTTTGGACAAATGTCATGACGACAAAACTCGTGGCCAAAAGTTGTCCTCGCAGAAAGAAAGAAAAAGAGAGAACGGGTCGCCCGGCGCATCGTTGCCGCGGTTTTGCTCCGCATCTTGACAGCGAGTCGATTCGGGCCAGCCGGCGTCGCCCGTCCCGAGACTTTAGAATCAGGAAGGTCGAGGCGTCATCAAATTGCGCAATAGAATTTGCGTTTCGTGGTCGTCAAGTGTTTGTTGGAATGTTCCCTTTCATTCTTGTTGAATAGTTCCAAGCCAGGACAGAATTTGGGGAAAGTTTCCTGCTGAAGAGAAAATGCCGTCCACCCATTTTGTCAACCGCTGTCTCCTCACGAGGGTCGCGGGGCGTGCTGGAGCCTAGCCCAGCTCTCTTCGGGCAGTTTTCCCCAAATATTGTCTGTATGGATTTGTTTTGCTTCAAATGCACAGCAACCCCCCCCCCCCCCCCCGGGGCTGTTTTTAAAATACAAAACAAAAATTCGATTTAAAAAAAATCCCCCTTCATTGCAATTCTTTTCTGGATTTTAAACTTCAACGAGTTGTTGAAGATGCTCGCTCCACAACAAATGTTGTTCAGCGAAAGCACTTCTTTGTCGAGCGCAATGTGTGTTCAGGGAGCGCAACGCAAAAGGAAACCGATTCTCCCCTCCAGCGCGCTTCTTTTCCGGTGTCAACTGAAAAATGAGGGGGGGCTGGGAGGGAGGTGCCCTTTGCAGTTTCCCGTGAGGTGGTGGGGGGTCGGGGGGGTTCAAGTCCGCTTCCGCACCAAATCTTCACCGCCAATCTCTGCCATCGCCAAGTTTCTACCTTGACGAAACCTTTGGGCTCTGAATCCTTTTTTGCCGCTAAATGTTGCTCTTCACGCGCATGTTTGTATTGCAGATGTATTATTATCGCTACGACAACGCCGAGGTCCGCTGCTGCTACAAATACCTCATGTTTACATACAACGTCACCTTTTGGGTGAGTTTCTTCTTCCTCTTGTGGCCGGCGCCGGAAGTGTTGTCACGCACATTCCGTCAGGCTTGAAGCGGTCCTGCCCGCGCGCGTCCTTGAAAGCGGAACGGCCGCTGAAACGAAGCGCCGCCGCCGAAGCTAAGCGAAGCTCGCGCTGTGTGTGTGTGTGTGTGTGTGTGTGTGTGTGTTGCAGCTGGCCGGCGTGGTCTTCATCGCGGTGGCTTTTTGGGCGTGGAGCGAAAAGGTGAAAGGCGAAAGCCAAGCCGGACGCCGGGCCGGCCCCGAGCCTCGGGCGCGGCTCAGCCTTTTTGTCTTTGTTCCTCAGGGGGTCCTGCTGGACCTGGCGCAGGTCACCCGTCTGCGAGGTTTGGACCCGGTGTGGTTGCTGCTGCTGGCGGGCGCCGTCACCTTCGTCCTGGGCTTTGCCGGATGCGTGGGAGCGCTCCGAGAAAACATCTGCCTGCTCAAGTTCGTACGTGCAAACAAAGTCGCGGGAAGGCCGACGCGACGCGGAACGTAGCCGCGGCGGCGTTTGCGCCCTCGCTCGTCCGAGCGCGGACTCGTGCCGGACGGGCGAACGGCCCCTCGCGCGCGGCGAGGGGCCTAAACCATCGAGACGGACGGATCCCCCGATGCGCACGCGTTCCAAACCATTGCGTTGTGTTCTGGGTGCCCGGCGGTCAGTTTTGCGGCATGATCGGCGTGATCTTCCTGGCGGAGCTGGCGGTGGCCGTGCTGGCCGTGCTTTTTCAGAGCCAGGTGCGAGAATGGATCAACGGCTTCTTCCTGGCCAACGTCAAAGCGTACCGGGACGACATCGACCTGCAGAAC